TACAAATTTTATAAAATATATCTTGAGCTTGGTAACATACCTTTACCTACTACCGTAAATTAGCTATATATTGTGCGTTTCATTTTTGTATACTAACATCTAGTTCATTAACCTGAGTACTCATTACACCATTTCTAATGTTTTCTAATTAATATGTTTACTATTTTCTATATTTTTTTATGTTTATTATTATTATTTATACCTGACTTCTCCGTTTCTTCATCACCTCGTTCTTCCTTTTCTGATCTGGAACCCTTTTTCTTTTATACATTAAAGTGCAGGTAAACCTCTACATAATTACTACAACTTATTAAAACTATATAATGTGATTTCATAGAGGTTAAAATTAAATTTATCCATAGACCTAGATAGGTATTTATGTATTTTATCATTCATAGTATAAAACTGATAAAAATTAAAAATTAAAAAAAAAAATGGTAAAGAAAAAGCTTAAGATGAGTCACTTGAACCCTAGAAAAAATTTTATAATTACACGCAGTTTTTGTGTTTTTCAAATGATTCGATCATGATATAATACTGCTGATCAAGTAAATTATAACACTACAAACTTAAAAATTAACAATTCCTTTCCCTAATAAATTTTATTATTTCGAAGTATAGATTAGTTTTGCTTTGGGTGCCATGATTAGTTTTTGACTGTTAGTTTTCTTTCAGTATGTTTCCATTTCTATTAAAGGTATGTAGCGATTAAACTTAATTCATATAAAATAAGTTCATAATTCATCAATATTAATATTTGAAAGAAATTTCAAGCATTTTAAATTTTAAATATTTCTTTAAAATTTTTTATAAGAAAAATTTACAAATTCTGGATTTGGTATATAACTTCTTGAGTTACACAAATTTACATATAAGAAAATTTTGTAATATACACAAATTCTGGCCGGAATTATAAAAATTTATGGTTATCACTGGCACATCATATTTATTATCACGTCCGTTGCCAACAACGGGTCGCAACTAGTGTATAATTTGTACTATTTGTTTTGCAATCAAATTTGTGATTCAGTTTTATCGGTGATTTGTTGAAAACTGTGATTTTATATGACATCATTATAATGTAACAAATCTAAATTTGGAATTCAATTTGCATCAGGCAAATCTGCGGTCAGAAATTATAGAATTGCCTTATTTGACCAGCTTAATATCAATCAAATATTAACCCATGGTCAGGTCTGCTCATACATGGGCAGCTTCTTGGCTAAGGTCTTGTGCACAAAGTTTCAGCTATAGACTATGTCGACTCCGATCAACCATTAGTTTCAATTTCTAATTCAAGATGTCCCGCTGCCAAAGAAAGATAAATACTACAGGCTAAGCTAATTAGTATTATTGAACAATAGCGGCAAAAAGACACATTTTTTAATTTTAATTAAATAATATAATATACAGTACATACTGGACCAAAAATAATTTACCTTTTTACTGTATTGTACAATAAGGTCTGAAATTGTTGTTGATTTGATTAGCAATTCGCTTAACGTCATTTCCCATATATTGAGATGTCTAAACTGAATTCGGCTGGCATTACAGTATTAGAAATAAATAATAGGTGACAAAATGACAAATAGGATTTCTATCGAAAAGAAAACGGGTGTGTCATGGTGACAAACTATATAGTATGCCACATGATCATACCCGGTCCCATTTATTTTGCCCTTAAATCTTTTATTATCACTTAATTCAAAGTCTTCATGTGAGATTTATGACAAGTATGTTCGTTATAATTCTTATATAATTTGTACTAATTAATTTCATTATTTAAAAATAATTCAATAATTCAGAAGGTAAGTTATTTACTTAATTCTTTTATTATATATTTATATGGTTTTTTGTATTTAATAAATTCTTTATTTAATAATATAGCTCGTAAGTTACTAATCTATTCAACTCTTCCATTATATAATATTTATATATATATATTTATTTTCCTTTAAAAAATAATAATATAGAAAGTATGTTATTATTCATTTATTTTATATAATATTATTGTATATAATTTAAAACTAATTAAAAAATTAATACTATAGGGAGTAAGTTATTTATTTATTATATATTCGCATAATTATATAATATTTAAATATGGTTTTAAATTCTTTACTTAAAAAATTAATTAATAATATAGGAAGTAAGTTATTTATTTAATTTAATATTATGTATTAATACAATATTTATATTTAATTTAAATTAACTAAATTATTTATTCTGGTATTTTGTTTAGATTGTAAGTTATAAATTATTTCTTGATTTATTATTATACATTCATAGCATTTATATATAATATAATTCTTTATTTAATAAATTATTTTGGCAGTTTATAGTAAGTATAACTTATTTATAAATATTTACATAATAATTATATAATTATATAATTTAAACTAATTAAATTTTCATTTAAAAATTATTTAACAATATAGCGAGTAAGTTATCTATTTATTCATTTGATATTTACATTTAAACTTACTAATTTATTAATAATATAGATAGTAAGCTATTTATATAATTTTGTGATTATATATTTATGTAATATTTAATATATGTATAATTAAATTAACTATATTCTTTATCAATAATTATTTCAGATTGTAAGTTATAAGCTATTTATTTGATCTTATTATTATATATATTTACACAATATATTTTAACTAATTAATAAATTCTTTAATTTTAGATTTTTTATATTGTAAGCTATTTAATTTTATTATATTTTTATAATATATTTATCATATTTATATACAATTTATACTAACCAAATTCTTTATTATTATCATACAATTAAACTAACTTAATAAATTATTTAATATATAACTCATAATTTTAAATTCTATTAAAATTCTATTATATTTATATATAATTTAAATAGGGAGTAAGTTATTTTTTTTAATTCTATTATTATATATTTACATATATTGATATAGAATTAGCTAACTAGTGAATTCATTTAAAAAATTAATTAATGGTGTAGTGAGTAAGTTATTTAATTTTTATTTTAGTAATATTTTAAATGCAATTTAAACTAATTAAATTATTTATTTAATAAATGATTTAATAATATAGAAAGTAAGTATTTATTTAATTCTATTATCATATTATTAAATAATTTAAATTAATTAAATTCTTTATTAATAAATCATTTGATAATATAGGAAGTAAGGATCTGGTTTCTGTATATAATATTTACATGTAATTTAAATTAATTAAATTCTTTATTTAAAAAAATTAATGATATAGGGAGTAAGTTATTTATTTACTATATCCTCCAAACTAAGCATCTCCTTTTGTACATAATTTCAGTAAAAACATTTATAACATATAACTTAAGGTGGGGGTACTTATTTCTATAGTGCTTAATTTTGGAAAAACCCAGAAAAGTCTCATATAAGTAAGGTGATGCCAAAAAAAAAAAATACCATTAGGCATCTCTTTCAGGGCTGGAATTATAATAATACCAGCCAGCATCTAAAAGAAAATAATTTCCAAACTAGAATTATTAAAAGTTATCTATAAAAGAAAGATCCACACGATTATTTTGACCCATTTAACACCTTTGCCTACATGAGACCTTTCCGGGTTCCATCCTACCTGGAAGTATACAATAATTCTGTGCATTATTAAATAGGAATATTGGATGTATATTAGAATACCATTTTAATATTCCTATCTAATAACTGCTGTATCATCATACAGATGTCCAAGATTATGCTTCAACTTTTTTAGCATACTTATAAATTTTAATATTTTATATTTTAATAATATAATGTGGTAAAAATAACATGATTACATTTAATGCGTAATAATATCATTTATTTATATAATACTTATATACTCATTTAAAAAATTAAATAAATAATTTTTTATTAAAAAATTATTTTATAATTAATTTTAGATTGTAAGTTATATATATTATTTACTATTATTATATATGATGTTTGCACATAATTTACTGACTAAATTCTTTATTTAAAAATTTCTTTACAATTTATTTTAGATTGTAAGTTATAAATTATTTATTTATTACATATTTATATATAATTTAGACTAATTAAAATTTTTATTTAAAAAATCATTTTTTAGGTTGTAAGTTAAAAATATTTATTAACTCTATTAATTATATATTTACATATTTATTTATAATCTATTTTAATTGAATTCAATTTTTTGTTTTAGTTGGTAAGTTATAAATTTTAGATTATTATTAAATATTATTTATATAAAAAATTAATATTTATTAATATTTATTTTGTTTTAGAGTAAGTATTAATCTTATTTTTTTTTTAATTTAATATTTTAACGTATTATCAATATAACATAAATTACCATAATTACTATTATAGATTTGGAGAAAGTGGAAATGCAATTATGGATAAATTTATTTTTGAAAAAGGTTTAAAATGGATTCCTTATTGTAAATTTGTAAATGTTAAATATTTTGATAAAGGAGGATTTGGTACTGTATATAAAGCTAAATTTGTAGATAATGCTAATCAAATGGTTCTTAAATGTTCTAATAATTTGAATGAAAATTTAAATGAATTTTTAAATGAGGTATAATAATATAATATTTCTTTTAATTTTTGCTGATTTATTTATACTAACATATAATTTTATATTCTATAGTGGGATTATCATGAAAGTTGTTTAGATTCAGGCGAAATTATTTATTTATATGGATTCACAAAAAATCCAGATACTTTGAATTATATGGTTGTAATGGATTATGCAAATAGAGGAAATTTAAGAGAAAATTTAACAAATATAGTTAGATATGATTGGAAAAAGAAATTACACATGTTGTATAAAATTATTTCCGGGCTTAGTAAAATACATGGAAAAAAACTTATTCATTGTGATTTTCATGATGGTAATATCTTAAATCATGAGGATGATAAAATTTATATTAGTGATTTAGGATTATGTAAGCCTGTAAAATTTACTTTAAAAAAAGATAGTATTTATGGTGTCATACCATTTATGGCACCTGAAGTTTTAAGAGGCAAACCTTATACTCAAGCTAGTGATATATATAGTTTTTCTATGATTATGTGGGAATTTACATCTGGGGTTCCACCATTTCATGATAAAGCACATGATTTTCAACTTAGTTTAAGTATTTGTAAAGGCGAACGTCCTGAAATTATTGAAAATACTCCACAATGTTATATAAATTTGATTAAAAAATGTTGGAATGAAGATCCATTAAAAAGACCATCAGCATTAGAAGTTAAAAATATTATTGAGAATTGGATTTTTCTTCCTAATAGAGCGAGTATTGAAGATATTAATGAAGAATTAAAAAGCAATATTATGGAATTTAGAAGAGCTCTATTTAGGAATAGAAATCCTTTTATTACTAGAACTCATCCACAAGCACATTATACGAGTCGTTTACTTGATTTTACTAGTGAAAAATTGAATGAAAGTTTAAAAAGTAATTGTTCGTATTATAGAGTTAATGAAATTAGTAGTGAAATTGAAAGTCAAGATTCACAAGCATATTATGCAAGTGATTTTACTAGTGGAAAAGTGTATGAAATGTCAAGAAGTGAAGATTTGAATGATTGTGTAGTTGAAGATATGAATCATTAGGTATGTAATATATAGAAAAAAAGGTAATTTTTCAAATTATTTATGTGAAATTAATTTATTTATTAAATATTAAAACAGATTGAATATTAATCAATTATTTATGAATTTTTTAAAAATTGCAGTAACTTAAGTAATATTTGATATTATATTCGGCAGAAATTATTCTTTTTTTTTTCTTTTTTATTTTACTTAGGATTATTTAAACACTAAGGCTAGAGTAGTAGCATATCGTACAAGCTTCTTAGTTTGTAATTTAAATAATTCTTTTCTTTTTTTTATATAGCCTATATATTCCCTTTCTTATTTTACTTAGAATTATTTAAACACTAAGACTAGAGTAGTAAAATACTTTACAAGTTTCCTAGTTTGTAATTTAAGTAATTCCTTTTTTTATAACTTATTTACTTAGGATTATTTAAACACTAAGACTAGAGTAGTAAAATATTTTACAAGTTTCTTAGTTTGTAATTTAAATAATTCATTTATCAAAATATTAAATAAATGTTATCATTTATTTACAATATAAAAAGCCCTAAATATGATTGAATTTAAAGGTTTATTCGATTAAATAAAGGCTATAGGATTAAATTAGTATAGTATTAGCAGTCACCCGTATAATCCGGCTATTTAAATATTATATATATTTTATTAACATTAAATGGGACAAAATAATATACAATATCCACTTCCAATATTCATAAACTATAAAATATCTGATGTTATATTTAGTATGCAAGCAGAGCCATGTACTAGCACAAATAGCAGAGAACTTCTAATTTACATGATTTTTAGTATAATTGATTGAACTTTATAAAATTTTAACATTAAATTATTGACTAAAAATGATTTAATTTTAATAAAGACGGTCTGGTTCAGCTATGAAGGAACAAATAGTTAATTATTTATGCATCTATTAGAAACTTTGAAAATATTTTTTTGTAAGATACTTGTGTTACATACTAGGAACACAAATTATAGTTCAGGATAATTCAAAAAGGAAATGGTTGAAAGTGATGCTTAACAACAGGGGATAAACAAAATTTTAACGCCATTCTACGAAAGAAAAAATTTATTATTATTATTATTATTATTATTATTATCTTTTACTAAAAAGGTCTGAAAATTCGGTTTATTTACTGCTACACTAGTGACTGTATGCAACATTATTATTCTATAAAGAATTCAGTCCAGAATTTTTCCATACAGAAATTCTTGGCATGAAATGAATAAAATATAAATAATTAAAAGAAAAACCTTTTATTTACAAAACTTTTGTAATTTTTTTTTCAAAAAAAAGCATCTCTTGTCAATTTTATTGTTGAAATTTGACCTCATGAATAATACAAGTAATGTTTTTAATCGTCCTCATTAACCTGTTGCCACTTTATATTTCAGCGTGGAAAATTCCAAATAAAACAAATAATCTTAGCGATTTGAACCCAAATAAAGCAAATAATCGTAGCAGTTCAAACGATCAAATTCCAAATAAAGCAAATAATAGTAGCAGTTTGAACGATCCAAATAAAGCAAATGATTATATAACAAGTTTGAACAATCAAATCAAAATTTACGGAGTAGCGATAAAGTCGTTATACCGCAAACGATTTGACTTAGAATTGTTTTAGTGGACGATATCATAATTGTTATACCTTACATTCATTAATTTATCGTTAAATGATTGCATTAAAATTTCGATATACTCGATTAAATATATATTTAATTTTTCGAAGTGAAATACAGCATTTTTTTTATATAATTTATGACTTTGTAATTACTAAAATTTGTTACTCGAGGAGTATTTTATTTTATTCTATTTATTTTATTCTATTTATTTATTATGTAATTTTTTTTTACATGTATTATATGTAATAATTAATAAATTACACTACCTTATTTTTTAATAATAAATTGCATAAAAAATTTTCCGAAGTATGTTTTGTTACGTCACAGTTTTATGCAACTTTAACGGGAAAAGGACCAAAAAAAAAATTTGAGCTATGCTGCACTGTCTGCGCACATACATGGGTATAAAAATTAAAATTTTGAATCAAAAGTATAAAGAACGTTCAAATTAACAAAGTATTGTCAACCATTTTTAGTTTGTCAATCATGGGAACAAGCTATAAATACACTTTAAAAGTTAATAAATTATTAAATAGAAAAAAGTTAAATTTTACTTTCTGTAAGTAACGAAGATTTTTCTGTACAAAAAATTCTTGGTCAATAATTACTTTATCGTTCCCATTTGTTAAGCAATAATAATTTAATACTAGCTGTTACAAAAGTCCCTCATTAATATATTCTATAATAAAATTTAAATAATTGTTCGGAGCGAAGCGAAGGACAATATATGTCTACGCACTATGAAAAAAAATTTGATCACTTAAGTTTCTCTGTCCGCCACGTGATCGTCGCCCAATGAAATTGCAAATTTTAGTTTTTCGCTCCGGACTTACAACTAGTATAATCTATGTTTAAAGTTTAAAAATTAACTTTTGCATATATTGTAATACTTATTTGACGATAATAGATTTCATTATAGAATAATACAGAATTTTGAATAAAAATTTCTTCATATAATGGAGTTAAATTAAAAAAAAAAAGTGGTAGCTACTAGTGATTTAACAATTAAAACCATTTCAGCGTTTCAATAACGTTGGCTTTTTGCTTTAACTATAATTTTGGCAAAACTCATTATTATCTATGTGGATTTGCATGTTAACAATTATCTTTGGTCCCGTGTTTATTGTGTAACTGATTATCACTTTGGAATCGGATAATTTTTTTACCGAAATACACTGATTTATACGGAGTGTTACAGACCTGTACGACAGAATAATCTTTCTCCCTTTTTTTCTTTAATACCAAATATTTTTCGTATAAAATATTTGTTAATATGTCTACCTCAAATATGATAACAGAAGAAATGGTTCGAAAATACAATAAAAGTGAACTCTTAGATTTTTTGAGAAAAGAAAAGAACTCATTGGAACTTGATGAGGACGATTTGGAAATTATTCGCAGGGAAAAAATTAATGGTCGCAATTTTTTAAAAGTGAACGTAGACAGGCTTATATATCATGGAATGAAATTGGGACCTGCAATGACTCTTATTGAATTTGCTAATGATATAAAAGAATGTAAAGTGCAAAGAAAAATTCTATCAAATAAAATTCCATCAAATATATAATTTGAAGCTCAAGCATTAAATGAGAGAATTAGGAAATTAGAATCAGAAAAAGTACAGTTAAATCAACAATTAAATGATTTAATTCTTTATAAAAAATTTGTTATTCCTTCTTATAATAATTTGTGGCTGAATTTTGGATCCGAATGGAATCAAGAAGAAGCACAAAAAATAATCGATGAAGTTTCTACAGAGTATTTAGGTGTAATATTTCATTTTAATGCATTTAAACATCAGGAAGTAGTATTCGAATTCCAATCATCCATACGATTAACAATTATTCTAAAGGACCGAAAAAAATAATTGTTAATAGTAATTGCTTCAACAGTTTGAAAAAGCATAACAAAGTGGAATCATATAGTAAATTTAATGATGGCTGTTTTAATTTTTCTGATGAGGCTTACTCAAATATTGAAATTATCAAGAAATATACATTTTTTAAAATTTAGGCTTTATTATTTATTTTTTTTTTTTTCGGTTATTAAATTTTGTATCAGAAATTCTTAAAAATAACAACAAAAATTTGTAATATTTTTTAAATACCAAATAAAAGAATTTATCATTCTTAATTCCCTATAAAGTATTTAATAGGTCAGATTACGCGCATTGGAGCATTTAAATTTATTATTATAGGACGAATTTCTTCAGATTAAAATAACAATAAACACAAAGAACGCAACAGGACTCTATTTATTACGAACGCCATTAAATTATTATTCAAAAGGAAGAAAAATTCCCACGAATTTTTCTTGATAATCGGTGATTTTTCCGGCTGATCCAAATTTTTCAGTTACCAGAATATGCATCTTGCAGGGGACTTCAACAATATTTTGTATTCATGATTATCGAATTTAAAGGCAAGGGTCATAGGAATGTTAAGTAGTTTAAGTAGTTCGGAAGTGGTTTATTGAAAATTGCTTGTGTTGATTGACATTTACTCTTATAAGCTCGTTTATAATAATCTTTTAACCAAATTTAATTTATAATCGGGTTTTTAGAAACTGTTTCGGTTATAAAGTGGTTCGAAACAATTTGCTCTTTTTGGAGATTATTTTTTTATTGGCATCAATTTTTCAAATAAAGTTACTTATTAGAGTAAAGTAATTCGGCTCATCTGTATTATTCTGTATTTAACAATTCAAAAATTGGTCATTTACAGTATTTATCAAATAAAGAATAAAGTGTTTTTTAAAAAGAAAATATAAAATATTTAAATATTTCAAAATTTTTTTTTTTTAGTAGAAAATAAAATTTTTTTTTTCACTTTTTATTTAAGAAATAATTTTTTCATAAAAATATTTTTCTCTTTTTTTTAAAAAAAAAATTAGAAAAAAAATTTTTTTTTTTTTGCATTATTTATTTATTTTATTTATTTTAAATAATCAAAAAACACAATTAATTTATTAACATTATCGTAATGTAAAAAAAATTAATGGGTGCAGTATCATTTAAATATTCTTTTTTTAAAAATAATGTTTTTATTACTAGATAAATGTTTTATTAAATTTATAAAAAAAAAAAGTATTTTTACATTTTTTGTAAAAAAAAATTATTCTATTGTAATTCCACCAACGAGTCCAAATACTGCAAATACTGTGACCTGATAGTTTAATAAGAACCGTTTCACGTGAAAAAGTATCAAACGATTGGATTCCTACAATGGAATATAGGATACATATTAAATCTTGATATTTCGGCAATATTCTAGATCAAGGAATTTTGGAATTTTTTGCAGTTGACTCACGTATCATGAATTAAAATATTAAATCTCAATTTGAAATGGAAAAGCAAATTTATAATGTATCTCATTTATTGGCATTTTTTTTTTCGTCAGCGAAAAAGTCAAGAATTGTAATTCATTCAGTTTTATTTGAATGTTTGATTTAATGTAAAAAAAATAGACAATAAAGTCATATGACAAAAATTAATTAGACTAAATATTAATAACCATTTACCATCGCCTCCGGCGATTCGTAGCAATTTTATTTATTTTCAACAGGAGGTACTTTACGTCCATTTCTAGGTTGAGTGGGGCGTGAATTGAAACCAATATGCTTACGAAGTTTAACTAACTGAGATGTGCTGATTAAAAGAGGTTTATTAACGACCCACCAGGTAACATCTTCGGTGCAATTAGGTGTAGTAAGACTTCCAAAATATTTATAAACCTATGTGTGATTGAAAAATAACAATTAACGATAATTATTTGACTTTGTAATAAAATTTGAATAATTACTCACCTCCTTAATATGTGAAAATACTTCTGAATTGATGTCTACAGGAACATTGTCTTTAGCATTAGGATCCTAGATTTGAATAATTAAACATTAATAAAATACTAAATCCGTACACAAAAATAATAACCACTTACCTGGTTATAAAGTTTAATAATTGAATCAAAAAAGCTACTACTCCCTACGGCGCAATCGACTTCATAAAGGACACCAATAACTGAATATTTTTTAGTAACTGAATCTTCAAAAACAAAATGAGCCTCAAGATCCGTATGTATTCCGTCAAAGCGATGTTCAGAGGGAGTATGAAAATGAACTTGGTTAAAGATATAACGTACAGAATCAAAAGAACTACCTATCAATTGTTGTGGTAAGAACTTGGTAGCGTGACCTTCCTTTTTCATTGAAATAGTTGGAAATTTAACATTTGGTGTATTTTGTTTAATAAAATTTACATTAGGTAGTTTTATTGCAAGGTCAATACTAGTAATAAAATTAATCGGGGATTGCCTTTCCCCATCTTTACACAGTTTGTATTTCGCATCGAGTTGACTCCAATGCTCTGGACCACGTTCATTGTAATCAAAATCTGCACCATCTTGTTCAGCAGCAAAATTTGACGATACTAGAATAAGCGAAAGGACAATAGTGGGAATTAAAAATGATCTCATTAACATGGTAACTGGTAAGATTAAGCTTTTTTTTTTGTGTTAGGAAATTAATTAATTCCTCAATGATTTGTTTAGACGAAAATGTCCTGTATTTATATTTCTAACCACTTATTTTTGACGTGTAATTTCCATTTGGAAATCCATTCGTTTTTAAATTTCAATTCGCTGGTCAATATCTTCTAGAGGCTTATTATAATGGCTTCTGCATCTTCAATTGAATCGTGTTCAATTTATTCTTCAGAAGCATAAACAGTGAGAATATTTACTTGTTTTGGAAATTTGGTGACATTAAATAAACAGCCACGATGTGGCTAATATATTAAAACGTTTTTTTTTCTAAAGAACACGAATAGAAGATCATTATTAAATTGATGATAAATAGAAAATTTCCAAGTGTTTTGTGTTATATTTACATCTCACTTTATTTTTACTTTTCATCTTTACAAGATTTGAAAACTTTTGCTTTAAAACTCGGTTTCGTAAATATATCATATTTTATTACTTAACCATTATTCAATGAAGACAGACTTAATATTTTTTCGATTAAATATTATTGCAAAAACTTCGTAGAAATAAAATTGTCCATGTATATAATTTATTGGACACGCATTATTACAAGTATATTTAAATTATTTTTTTACTTCGCCAACTAAAAGTATATACCTACAATGATTATGTATACTCTCCTGTATGTATTTATTACATTTATTTCTCTTCGCTCAAATCCGTTTAAATTTGAATCATGTTTTTCTAGTATGTATAGATCTTGATTAAAATCTTTTTAAATTATAAACTTGTTATAAACAAGCACAGTAAATTTGATTAAAATACATCAAGATCATCAATTTCTAATTTGTCCTAGTGGTAGTATACAGGTTAGAATTGATCATCGACAAAAAAAGAATAACGTTTACCTAAGCCTGTCCCAGTTATGATACGGGATAGAGTCCAGTACAATGGGGACTTCGGGTTAGAATCGTTCTTCGAGATTTATTATCACAGAAAAAAATTTAGCATGTACCATCGATTCTGCTTATTTGCAGGATTCGATGAAGTTTGACAGATCACATGATTACTAATCTGCCTTCGTTGCAAAGAAAAATGCAAAAAAATATGCAATACTTCTGTAATGTGAGCGTTTTTAATTGGTTGTCGATCATTTGACCACCTGACGATAACGCGTCTCCTCCAAAATATGACAGAACTTGGTTCTTGTGCTATAGCAGAATGCAATAAACCCACAATTCGCTTTGTACTTTGCAGTAAGTAGTAAAAATAAGACAATACAAAAAAACTTTTATTAATTGCAATATAGAAGTTGGACTTTAACTTTGTCATAGTCATTATTTAGAGATTCAATACAAACATTGATAATAAAGAAAATTACAGAATTTTCAATAGAAATTTTTAAACCATAATTTACTTGGTTAATTAAAATAATTAAAGATAGCAAATATTTGATATTATGATTATATTAACTAATATGATATTTTTTTTTAGACTTCAAGATATGTATACCATTACTTACAGAAGTTTTACGTAAAAACCAGCGAAAAGAACATGTCAGGTTTATTATTAAATCCAGTAGCATTTAAGGTTATGATTGAGGAAGCGGATCCACGTTTAATAGGATTTTTTGACATTGCAATAATACCTAATACACGTTCAGCATACAATAGAGAAGTAGCAAAAAAAAAATTGTAGCAATTTGCTATATTATGGTGGCACAACGAAATTTGCGTTAAATATTGGTTTATTTTTAGATTCAACTGGATCAAATAATGAATCTACAGACGCAATGCATAAAAATTGGAGTAGCAGTATGTGCGGAAACAGTTGATTTACATGAAAATTGCACGAGATCATAAAACTATAAATATAAAAGAATATTTTCAAAAAAATGTAAATATACACATATAATTTTAATAGTAATTGTAATACTAATGCTTTGCTTAGGCAGCTTAGCATTCTTTATTAGAGTTATACATACTGTATTTAATAAAGATGATTTTCATTCAATTAAAGAAAAAAGAAGATCCAATGCTACTTGGCTTTCAACAGGTCATCATATGACAACATGTATATGTAAACAAATAACTAGCTGCCCACAAATTCCCATTACTTATAATGGTGCTTCAATTTATAATCCTACGAATATAGATGTATATAATATTAATAATCGTTTAATTCATAAATATTATGGAACTTTTGATAAATCACATAGCACGCAAATTTAAATGGATGCAGCAAAAAAATGGAACTTACTAGTTTTGATCGTATTGAATTATTTACAGTACATAGTTATGATAGTGCTATTTAGAAAACAAAAGATTAACGATCAATGAAAAATGTACATCTAGTTGGAGATTACGTAAAAGAAAGTGGCAACAATACACACCTTTAAAATGGTTATATAGCCTCAAATTGTTACAGTTTGGCCGCCAATTATTTATTCGAAAAGCCTTGGTTCAATTACAAGAAATCCAATTCCATTTAATATATGATCTTTTATTCCAACCCTTGCGTGTATCACTTAACAGTAGAGAACAGGTAACGCTGGTGCATTACTTATCAATCAATACTTCAGTATTATGAAAACTCATCTCATTTCTTAAACTTTTGCTTCATTTTCTCTTTGGAGAACGTGTAAAATTAGCAAAGAAGCTCAAATCCTGGAGAATAAATCTTTCATTAGAATTAGCATACAGTGAATGGATAAAAAATTAGAACAAATACAAAAAATAAATTCAGATCTATATGTATAGGATATTGAATACCAAATGGCGCTTGATCTTTTAGACAATTTAGTTCCGGCAACTCTTGATGTATATGTAATACTTTTTTCGTTCTGGTTCATTAAATCAATATGTTGAAACTATTTTTCGTATATGAACATTTGCATCACGTCGGAAGCATAAAAATTATAATAAAAGCGCCATTAGTATTCTTGTCAAATTTTTTTTGATATTAATCACCCTTTCTTGATACAATAAAAATAATTTTACCTATTTTAATGATTATCCGGTAGAGAATATGCATAGCAAAATTTGAACAAGTATATCTATAAATGCGTAGCGATGATTATTAAACAGGCATGTATAATTGGTAGATGTTTTAAATTTTTAATTTTTTTTTAATTCAAAAACATTAAATAAAAACTAAAATTTCGTAAAAATTCTCACGTTTTAGATGAATTCAAAGATATCAAAAACATCATATCCATCAAATATTGGTTTCCTGACAAATAAAACAAGTTTATTCTTGTTATAATATTTTCATATGCTTTATCAAAATCTCAATTGCAGTCATGCACTTGATAAGAAAGGAAAAGGAAAGAAAATCCTACAACCTATTACCTTGCTACGTTAGATCAGCAAGTAGATATTAAAAATCTATCAACCGGTATCATACAGAAAACCAAATGTTTGTGGCGCATCGCGCATGTGATGCTAATTAAATAACGATAGTAAATATTGATCTGTTAACATGATTATCATAATCATTGTGAACAATATTATAAGCGAAGCATACTCGATAATGGTAAATCTTTTTTAGACATATCACAAAATGGTAGTAATGAACTTACCGAAGAAGAACAAGACAATGAAGAACAAGACAATGAAGAACAAGAGGAGGGAATAGAAGAAATGAATGATTCTGATTTAACTACAATATCATTTAATTAACAACTGCTTTGCTTCATGTATATAGAACAAATGATTAAAAATATTATACAAGTTTATCAATTTCTTTTTCATTATTTATAAATGTGAAGGTTATTAACTCCAGCCTATCGGGTACTGGCATCATATATTCTATAGCAGAAATCTTCAAACACTAGTCAAGGCAAAAACGAAAGTTAAACACGGTTCGGAAAAAAAAAAGACACTTATTTTTAATGCACGTGATAGTGGATTTTTATGTTGAGATGTTCACTATATATCACATGACCATATGGCACAGTAATCACGCTTTTGTAAAAATATCTAGATGATTGAAAATGAGATTCACATAAAATATAATCAATCACACATGATTTGGGACTAGCCCATGATACATATTATTTCTATCGAATAAATTATTTGTTTTGAACCTTGTTAACACACTCCCTATCCTTTAAACATTTCTTAAAAAAAACATAATATAAAACATGAATGAAAAAAAAAATAGAATTTTTTTATATCTTTGATTGCATAATCGGAAATTTCTCCATCACGCATTGCTTCGAGAGTTCGTTAGTCTTCACCATTTAACATTCTATCCGAGAAGCTTTCGCAACATATGTTATCATTGATAAATACCATGCCAATGGATGATCTCCGGGATTGCAACAACCATTCCATAACAGTATGTTGTAACATTCGAAGAGGAAATATAAAGGGACTTAGTTTACAACGGGATATGGCAAACTATCAAATGTAATAGCCCATTTCACAACGGTATGCCTCATGCAACATTCGTTGAGAAAATCTAAAGGGACTTGGTCTGTAACAGCGAACGTGAACAAAGTTGTGCTTTAATAGTGGATCTCGTAGGAGTCATAAGAACAAAAAAAAAAAGAAACCTTAATCGTCAGTAGCCACTTCATTGAGATTGTAAGCAGGAAAAACATGACATACCATGATGTAAGAGAATTCTGTCATGCCCGAAATCTTTTTGCCTTGATTGGCGTAGAATCGCATCAAAACTTCTTGTCGAAGATCTAATTTGATGAAATGCCAATTTACTGGCTTGTAAATTGGCATAAATTTGTAAATCGGTAATTAATGCAAATATCGTTGATAAAGAACGTGCAACTCTTTGAAAATAATAAAACAAATGCTTACCTAGAATGCAACAGCTCTTGCAAGCCACTACCCTCTCTTCCCTCAAACGATGGTAAGTGAAATTCTCCTAACAAGTATGAGCACATAAGATCTGGAGGTCTGGAGACAGCCCCAAAATTGGAAATGATTTCCAATCCCTCTTATGCCAAAAAATTCTAATTCACAAATCCTTATTTTTTGCTTCCTCCGGCATTATTAGAGCCTGCATTGCAGACATTACCGAGAAACCACGTCTATGTCCTCACGATTGTTGCTGTTTTCGGATTCATGACGAGTACCAACACCACCCTTTAACTCAACCCAAACATTTTCAAATCCTTCAGACTTCAGCATTGTCAAGACCATCTACACGAGTCTTTGCTTTTATTTTTGAAGACGATAGTGGTTTCTTATTATTGGAAACAATCTTTTCTGCGTCAGATTCAGATTTTACTGAATTATGGGTACAAGAAGTCGTGATGTAAGCTGTGTTTTCACCCGCGGTTGCTTCATTTCCTTACCGTCTTGCCATTGTACGATCCTACAATAAACCATTATTAGACTATGATGAACACTTACACCCATTTTATAAGCTCAGCTGCCCACAAAATGTCTCGCAACTGTTTATCTAAATGTCGGAAGGGATAGATGTTGCTCATTTCATCCAGTGATTTTAGGATCTGAAAATCAGCAAATTCTTTAAGAAATAAAACCAATCGTATTCGCTTCCCAATTTCAAGGACTTTCGTGGTGTCCTCTTCGCTATCGCACAAGCTGATCATCAATTTTAAGTTTCCTTGCTCTAAGAGCTTCTTTTTATTTTCCTCCCGAACAATTTTCACCAGCTTATTCTCTGTGGAAAGCGCATTTTTCAACTTGTGCTGCATCAAAAAACGGGACCAAGACATTTCCCAGTGCTCATCGCTTATCTGCAATGTACATCCCGTATCCGAAAGTTGAAGTGACCTAACTATGCTAAAAAACAATGAATAATGTGTTAATCGAATTCCATCAAAGTACCACTTGCTGATGAAAACGTTTCGAGACTAGCCCAGTTCCCTTCAAATTATTGCTTAAGTTTACACCATCTGTTATCCAGTCCTCCGCCATAAGTGAGTATCCAGCATGAATAGGAAGTCCATCAAAATAGCACGGTTTGGGTGTTGCTACTCTCGATTTCGACAGGAATACTTGACGAGGATTTTCCTTACTGGGTTTATCCTCGTCCCCAGGTTCTTCATAGTCTCCTTCATCTGAGAGACTTTCTTTCTCTGCTATTTCCTTCAAACGATCAAGAGAATTTTGGTGGGCAATTTCGTTTGTGACACCAAGTCTTTCGTTCGCCATACTTAATGTCGTCTCTGTACATATCTTCACTTCATCCTTTCTCTTTTTACGCAGAAAATAAAGCTTCGCCTTATCATTCTCGAAGAATTCGTTCTGTCTCAAAAATCTTCTTGCAATACCGCCAAGTTCAGAATCGTCACTTAATGCCTTTAATATTTTATGAAGCACTTCTACGCCTTCCGTCAAGGAGGAGTAATTGAAATACACATAAAAATTCTTCGCTTTCAATGCATTACGAGAGAGATGTTAACATATTGAGTCTCAGATAGCCGACCTTGCCCAAGGTGGTGATGTTAGTAGTTGTCGTGGCTAGTTTAAATTTAAAATTGTATGATGGTTTTCCTATCAATTGTAATACACCTACCATTGCCTCTATTACGATGGTTCTCTTTGCTTTAACGGGACGTCGGCTGGCTGGGATGCGAAATGCTTGCTAATCTTCGAAGGCGAAGTCAGCTCTACACCTCCAAGCTCGTCCTTTATATTAACGTTAATGTTAGTGTTGGCGACAATCAATTTCCGTTTTCTTCAAGAGAATATCCACCTTCCATAATTTGAGCTTGTCTGTAGCGAAATTATCGAACTGGGTACCTTCTTTGTCTTAATTTCTTCCTTAAGTTCACTAACCGTCTTTGTCAAGTTCATCTTGATGTTGAAAGCAATTTCATAAGGGTTTTCACCTACGACCAAACAGTTAAGAGTAATAGTTGGCATAGCTTGCTGTTTGATTTGGATAAAAACGAAATTCCCAGTTCCAGTGTAAGAAGTGTAAGAAAAAAAAATCTGGGAAATTCCTTTTGTCGCGTCGCGTAATCATATTGTCCCACATACTAATTGCCGATCACTAATGTCAGTACCCCCCTGGACAGGGTCACATCCGCAGTACTAATTAATTTGATATCTATTTTTATCATATGACCTTTATATTGTACTAAAATATCCAATTGGCGTTATTTTATTTGGCCATGCATGCCTGAAAGCTGTTAGAGTCGGTGTGGTTTCTTTTAGATATCTAATAAGCCATTATCGTAAGTTGAATGATATTCGTTACTATTTTTAAAAAAAACAAAAAATGAGTCGAATGATATTATATTTTCGTACATTGTCACAAATTTCAAATAAAGACTCAACAAGAAAGAGGAACACTTCAAAACTTCAATCACCTTCCCGTTCCAGACAATACATAGGGTATTGAAAATTCTTTCTCAAGGTAACTTTATGAATCCGCATCTGAAGAGAAATGACATGATGATAGTAACAGAGAGAAATGGATTGGATACTGAGGTGCGATCCGGATGAACCTGATCAATCCGTGAGTCGGATGAAAAAAAAAACTCAATCCGGATCAAAAAAACCAATCAATCTGCGGCTAGCCACGAATGAGCCATCAGATGATAATCGGATTGATCGGATGAAATTTTTTTTTTTTTAGAAGGTGCTAAAATAGAACGGATCTCTTACAAGTTCCAGACCTGTATGTAATTCAGCGATTTTCTTTTTTTATCTGAGAATGTTACTAACGTTTTTTTCATTTTTTTTTTCTTTAGGGACGTCTTCCCAGGACTCGAACTTTGGTTTTTGGAGAAAGGATTTGAATTTGTAAGTTAAAGCGAGAAATTTTGTTTTTTCTTTGTTTGGAAACGTTATTAACGTTCCTTTTCATTTTTTTTCTTTAGAGATGCCGTTCCGAACTTTGTAATTTATCGCAGACTTTGAATTTGTAAGTCGAAGGAAGAGATTTTTCTTTATTTTTATTCGAGAACGTTATTAACGTTCTTTATTTTTTTTTTCTTTAGAGACGTTTTCCTGAGACTTGGACTTCTGCCTTGAATTTTGAATTTGTAAGTTAGAGTGGGAGATTTTGCTTTTTTTTTCGTTCGAAAACATTATCAACATTCATTTTGCTTTTTATTTAGGGAAATCTTCCTGGATTTGCACTTTGGCTTTGGAAATTAGACTTGAATTTACAAGTCGGGAAAGATTTTATTTTTTTTTTGTTTTGGGGTTAGTAAATTGGTTATTACTAATTGAAAAAATTTTGGTAAATTTACCAAACTGAACAGAATTCCTGACTCAAGAAGTGTGTTTTTTGGGGAAATGTGTTTACTTTATTAATTTAGTGTTTTAAAAGTTTCGGAACACTTGGTTTAGGGCGAAAGTTAATATTTTTAAAGTTCACTACTTTTAATACTTTTAAGGTGAATATTTTAAAAATATTTGTTTATCTTTTTACATTTTGGAATAATGAAAAATAGCTTAGTACATGTATTTATTTATTTTATATTTGAATAATAAAATAAAGTAATTAATCAGGTAAATGAATATTATTAACTTTGGATGCATTTTTTTTAAAAAAAACATATGCTTAAAAAGTTTCGCATTCATCCTGGAGTAATTAAATTCACGGCATTGGAAAACAACCTTTCTGATGAAGTTGATGTAGCGGGAACTGCTACATATATTCTAGCAATTTAGCTAATATGGGGTGTTTACTTTTTTTGCCAGTCCACCATTTAAAAGGATTCTGGTTAAAAGGAATTTTCCTTCTTTTAGATATTCTGAAATTTCATCATGCACTTGAGGTTGTTCTTGCTCAAAAATTGCAAAAATTGGCGGTAAAAAAAGGACGTGATTGCATAGGCGTTTGTGATTCAATGGGGCTTTGTAAATAATTTTGATAATAATTAACATACTTTTGATGTAGGATTCATTAACACGTTTAATTCTAGGATCAAGAAAAGTAGATATCATTAATTCTTTAGGTGAAGACTCCCAATCATAACACATAGCATCATATAAATTTTTTTTTACTTTATCCAACATACCTTTAGTATTTAATGGTTGATTTATTTGATTATTATTATTTTCTTCGTTAACATCTTGATTTCTAATTCTCGATTTCTTCTGCTATAGCAAAAACTTTCAAAATTTTTTATTTGTAGATTACTAGATAAAGTTGTAGATGAAGTAAATGGGGATGGTAATAAAGTTGTCTTTTAATTTCTTTGAGTGGAATTATAGTATACGTAACATATTTTTTACCACTAAGATGACGTGTAGCTTGTTCAAATGAAGCAAGAACTACAATTAAATCATGCAAAAGATCCCACTCGTCAGAACTAAGCATAATTAGTCTTAGTTGCCTACCATCCTTTTTTGATTCTGAATCATTTTCTAATTCAGGTAATAGTGCTTGTATATAACATTTGATTCGTACCTAAGCATAATAACTGGAGTTCTGGCGTTTAGGTCTTAAAAAAAGTCTATCAAATTTTTTGCACTTTACTAAACTTATGAGCAGTAAGAATAATCTCATGAATAATAAAATTTTTAAATTTTATCATATATCAGTGGTTAAACATATAGAGATTGCGTTATTATCTAGATAGCGACCGATTATTTATAAAATAAATCGTTGCCGGAAAAAACAATTAATACATGAAAATTGCGTTACATGTGAATAAATAATTTTTATGGCAAATGGTATTAAAAAAACCTTGATTCAATTAACAATGAATATTGTACTTTTTATATTTTATTCGACTAGCGTTACAGAAATAATGTACAATAAGATTAGACTAGTATCTTGATTGCTATTACATGGATACTATTCGTTTTGTTTGTAAATTTATTCTTTTTAAAAAGTAAAAACATTGTAAGTTTCATCGATTTGCAAAGTATTTGCTCTAGGAGAGGTTACCCAAAACACACGACCTAACGAAGGCGCTTCTGGAGCGTTATTTTGCAAGTAAGCTGCTTGCAATCTTCTAATAACATGCAAGTAGATTTGGTGAGAGCGGTTACCGGCGTCTATGCAGAATATTGAATCTGATACAACAGGTCCTTGTTGATTTCCAGGATTTCCAGGTGCGACAAAATCAGGATCAATATACTGGCGAATGGCTGGATTAGTGCCAGTAATGACTGTCCAAATGAAAATATGATTAGAATAGATTTTTAAAGAATAATTAATAATGATTATTTTTGAACATACCAGCAATCACGTTAGCCTTAATTATTCCTCGCTGGGTTAAACCAGCTTCGTTCCATTCAACAAGAATGACTGGATCTACATGGTAAATTTCATCATCATTCTCATCTTTCTCAATTTTGGGTTCGATTGAGTTAAACCAATGTTCTAGTTCTTCCTTCCATTTTTCCTTAAAGGCGGGGTTGGACGGCATTTTCTTCTTTTGTCTATGATAAAAAAATTTTATTAAAAAATCAATTGATTTTGCCAGTAAATAAAGACCACAGAGAAACGTCATATTTTAAAGTTAACCACATGACTAATTTGTACAGAATAAAGAGCGGAAAAATTATACTAATAATAACGGCGATAAGAGGCGAACAGATAATTGAAAAAATATATAAAAAAAAGTAGAAAAAAATGACAAAGATTTTGCTTGTTTCGTTTCTCATCTTTTTTTTTTTTTACTTTTTGCCGGTTTTACCTTTTTTTTGTTTTGTTGATTTGTCAATATGTATTTATATGACTAATAATAATAATTCGTAAGTGTATAATTACAATTTCATAAGCTTTTTTGATTGATTTAAGACATTTTAAGTGATATGAATTATTTAAGGAAGTCTCTCAAATAAATATAGAGGTTGTGTGACACCGGTGACAATTCCCAGTAAAAAATATTCATCCCCGCGTGTATATTTATTTGAGAGACAGTTTTTGTCTCCCAAACTTATTTTTTTCACATCCCCTTAAATGTCATCGGTCACGTGAGCGGAATTTAATTATAAAATTGTTGGTGTTACAACAAGTATGTAGTAACACGTGATTTCACATGTAATACCACTCGTCACAATATGTATCAAATAAACTATTAACCATTGATATCAATATTGTATGATAATGAAAATATCGGTCAACATGATCTTATAGGGCTGTGCACTATATAAATTAAACAGATTGATTATAAATTTGGCTCACTGATTCGCTTTATAACTTTAAACTTTTTAATGGGGTCGGAGGGTCTTTTCTGCATCAACTATTAGGTTGAGCGTGGAGGAATTGATTATATAGTAGTTAAAGATCTTCCTTTTTCTAAAATTAGCCTCCGTAGTTTTATCCTGACCTGGAAAACACTCACGAATTTTATATCATCTCTATGTATTTTATAATGATCAAACCATAGTCTTTATCCTTTCCCAAAATAATAATAGCTATGGATCAGTTCTAGAACTGTTTTTTGATTATCACCTTCGGTTTTGATGATCCTGTCATTTAAGTCACGAAAACTAATCGAGTCAATATTCATTTTGGGAAATGTCTGCAAAGAAATAGTACCAAGATCCGGCTTTATATATACTTTCCTCCTAACTTGTATAATGGGCATAACGTCTTATCGGTATTGCCATAATAATCGAAATTTTCACTACTCAATTCTATATAAAGTAGGATATTGTTCCAGGGTCTTGTTGCAAAAATATATGGTTAATTTTGAAATCTCATTTGCACTGCACGTGACATACTTAATTTTATTAACTCATATACCGTTCTCTTCAAATAATTTGCGAATCTTTTTTTGCTCTAAGAATTTTAATTTTAATTCGTAAGGAAACTGGTGACACCAGTTAGGTGTATATCCTTATACATTTTCTTGCAGTTTTATCAATAACTCCCGTCTTACGACAACTTTATTTTCGAATATTGAACCCAGGACAAAATCTCTTCATGTCTAACCCATAAAAACAAATGGACTAAACTTAGTGTTGTGATTTGGTCGCAAGGTACTTTACTAGAAGATTCTATAGGTAAATATTTTTCATTAGGCGAAGCAATAATCGAATTAGGGAAGCTTTTAGGTAACTGGTAAGGGTATTTATATAGTTTTTTTTGAGATTATATTAATGTTTTTTCACATAGGTAATTATGATTAACTAATTGTACATGATGCGCCGACGAAATTGACTCGATGAGTCATGACTAATATTATATTGATCATGACCATGCGACTTATATGTTATTATTAGTCTCCAGTGTTATTTTGACAATCCCAATGTCTTTTTTTTAGTTCCATCATATTTCAATATTTTATAGAAAAAGTAAGTGCTGTGGTCTGTTGAAGTGGAAAAAAGGCAAAAAAAGATATTAATATGTATATTCTCATAGGTAATTCTTCGCTTGGCTCATCATAGAAAGTGAGGTGTAATTATCCTAACAATTTATAACAAATAATTTGACAACAAACCTACTTTGTGAGCTTTAAATAATAGTATAATTGTTTTACTATACTCAAAATTGAATGAAAATTTTTTCACTTATAAATTTTAAAAAATTTCATAATATAGTAACCGCTTTTTTTTTAAAAAAAATGGTATTTTGGAAGATCGTATTGGTTACAATAGCGTTTGTATGGTTTATTAATGAGATTAACAATCTCTACAATAATTTTGATGACGCCAATTATTTCAACAACAATTACCATGATGATTTTGATGCTTATGATCCTTACGACAATTTTATGATGATTTTTATGACGATTTTGATTCTGATAATGATTCAATTATTATGATGGCTTTGATGGTTAAGATTATTCAGAATATGACTCTAATTAAACTTGTTGCGATAGAAAATAGAGAGGTATTAGTTTAAAGTAATTTTGATATTTTATTACGAAAGATTTCACTTTCTCTTTAATTAGCCATAACAATATCTTTGTCTTAAATGGTTTTAATGTTTGTGAAATTATTTGTTGGATATTTTTTTTTTTAACCGATCAACAGAGATAAATTACATTTCTGAATGCTTTGTTCTTTCCTTTTCACTTCCATGTATGAACATTACTACTCGATGTATTAGTATTGTAATTAGTTTGTATGGCAATAATAAAAATAAGTAATTAAAAGATTTTCACTTGTAAAAAGATTGACAATCTCAGGATTAAAATTTCAATATGTCCAGATTTTAGATTTGAAGTAAAGCTGGATTAATAATAATTTTTATTTATTAAAAATAATGATCATCTATAATTTTTTTTCTAAAAAAGATGAGATGATAATATTGATCCTTTACACAAAAAAAAGGAATCAATTAATCATCTTAAAATGATAATTTTTTTTCCATCTTTTCTTTTGATCTCCTTTTGACTGAAACTTTTTTCTTTAGGCAACATCTTCTTTGTATGAATGATTTTAAAAGATGCCACAATTTTATGTTGCACACATTAAATCAATTACTGAACTTCTAAATTATATTATACATTGTTCTTGGGAGGAATAATAATAAAATTTTCATGCTATCAAAGCGAAACAAACCTTTAAAAGCAAATTTGATAAAGTAACATATCGTCCACTAGTTCTCATTATCTTAAAAACCTGTCCTCTTTTTAAACCGTAATATTTTATTTGCGATCGGATCTGTTGCTTGTGAGGAAGTTGGGTTTCCTTCAATCAATATTTAGCAAGTCTTTTTTTCTTTATCGGAAAGAACATAATGTTTGGGCACAAGTTGATGCGATGTGATATTAATCATCAAATCTGCTTCCGAGAAAGTATCAACTTCATAGTGTCTATTTTCTCTTGTGTTTATAACTTGTATCGCCTTATTAGCTGCTGCAGTTAGAGTACCGAGGAATACAATGATACTTTTGAGTCCACCATCCGTTAGCATAAAATTTTAAGGTACTTTACACCAACAGGCTTTTCATCAGGAAATGTCACAAGTAATTGCTCATTAGGGTTATCATTCTTTTGGACTTGAAACATCATCGATTCTTTAACAATTAAACCATCCTTCATGCAGCATTCATGAAATAGGTTCATATCAGTTTTACCAAGGGTGTCAAGACAGTAATTCTCACTAAGTGACCATGGGGAGTATTAGGAATTACCCATACTTTGTAAAATAAAAAACAAAATGCACTTTTTTCTTGTAATTCAGCAAAGTATTTGATCTAATAATTCATTTGCTTCATTCAAAAAATGATTGTTCCACATCAAAGCTTTGCCATTTAGTTATGTATTTTCAATCATGATTAATTAATTCACAAAAAAAAAAATGTTATTGTTTATAAAAAATTTGTAATAGTAAAGCAAAATTATTTTTTTTAAAGGTATTTGTTTAAAAGCAAAAGTATTTAGCAAAAGTATTTTTTAAAGGTGTTGTTTAAATAGAGAGAAATTAGTGATCTTAAATATTAAAAAATAACATGATTCAGACTGACATAACACGAAAAAAAAAACCATTACAAAATACTCAGCTTTTGTCATCCTGATTCATTATTACAGAAACAGAAGATTATAAACTAGTGTTTGGAATCATGTAACAGTTATTCGAATAACTCGAGTATATTCGAGTATTCAAATAAGCATAGTGGTTATTCGAGTATTCATTTAGCCAGATATAGTATAGTTAAAATTCTAATTGGGCATTAAATCCTTAAATTTAACTGAGTTAAAATCATAATTCAGGCTAAAAATTATCAGTTATGTAAATCATTACTATAAAAGGAAATTTAACTTATTCGAATATTATTCGAATACACTTTATAAATTTAAATGAATACTCAAGTATATTCGAATATATTCGATTCCAAACACTATTATAAACTAATATTATATATATATATATTATATGCAATATATGTAATCCATGTAATAATAAAATGAAATAAATTTTATTAGATATAAGTATGACTCATATTGAATAAATAGAATTATCACTTTTTTTCCATATTAATTTAGAACAAACTAATGATATAAAAAGAAAAATATGTATCATAATGTATCTAATAATAATCATACATACCAGATGATATATTGTTGATATTTTTTAACAGATTATTATTTAAAAAAAAATTTTATATTCCTTAATTACATGAAACTTTTATTTATTACATTTTAAATTTAAAAAACTTATAATTTTTTTTTATTGATATTATTAATTAAAATTTTCAATTTTGAATATTTGGAAAAAATTACAAAATTAGTTTGTATACATGTTTATTTAAAATTAACTTTATTTTTATTCTTTTTAATTTTTTATGAAATTCTTTAAATAAAAGTATGTCCAAAAAAAAATGGAAAAAGAAAATACAAATGATACAAAGTCAGATGAAGACAAAACTACGTCAAAGATGCCAATCTAAACAATTTAAATCAAATTTTTTTGATTGGGTTAGTGGATGTAGATTAGAGTACTAATTAAATTATGATTGAATTCTCAAATGATCGATTGTTCGTAAATTTCTAATTATTATAAAATTTATTTATCAGAAGAAATAATTTGGTGGATAATTTATAGTGAATTTCAAATATATTAAACATATTTTCAATGGAAATCATCAAAATTGTATAGTGTGATGATAAATTTAATTGGAGTCAAAAAACTAAAAAACTCGAAAGTAACATTAAATTCTGAAGTTTCACAAGGTTTATTTAACTATTTTGAAATATATGTAGTTTTTTTCTAAATAAGGATTTTAAAAAAAAGTTTTTATCAAATTGTACATTCTAAATAAATTATGGTAAATGTCTGATTCGTATAGTTTTAGTATATAATTATTATTTCAACAATTTTTATTTCTCTTTATTGGTCAAGATAGAAAAACAAATACATCTATACAATAAAGTATCGTATTTACACGAACCTAACTACAAAAATCCTAATACATCAGTGGTAATAAGTATTAGTTATTTAACGCTAAATTGCTAATTATAAAAACTAAAGAAATGTTTGTATAGGAATTAAATTATATGCGTTATTTTCTTTCTAATCGCACAATTTTGATAAAATTCATTGTAATATTTTTGTTATACCATATTATTATGAATATTGTAATTTTTCAAGAAAGACATCGGAAATTAATACTAATCACTTGCTTCACAATAGTTTATAATATTTACATAATAAGGAAACATTTTTATACATTAGTATCTAAGTTATCATGAATAAGGTTCTTCAAAATAATTTGTATCTATTACTATGTTTTTGGGATTTATTCTTAAAATTTAGAGCTTATTTAGAATCATACATCTTGACATTATTTAATTGGTGACCTAATTCTTATATAGTTCCTCCAGTATCGAAAAATTCAAATGAAAAAGAAAATTCCTTAATTATTAAATCATCCACAACTTTACAAATTAAAAAAAAATTAATCAATCGTTCACTACAATCATTGCAGAATACTTGATTTTGTAACTTGGTATTTTTACACTTTTAATTTCAACCAATTACAATTTCAAAATACTAATTCAAGAAAAAGCTTATCAAATTTGTTTAATAGAATTTTTTACTAATGGAATGCCTCTTTACAATTTTCTTAATGAGATTATATTTGAATTTACTTGGGATAATATATTTATGGTTTTCATTAAATTATGATATTATTACTATTATTGCTGCGATTATCTTTCATTTCATCTTTCATTCCATTACTCCTTCTGTTTATGTTTCTATTAAAGAATCCTATTTAACACTAAATATTTATTTAGTGTACCATTTATTTTATTGAATCTCATGATTTTTGGTCTACTCATTGGCAATTATTAACAAGTTTAAATATAGAATTAGGTTATTTTATTTATTTGTTCAAATATTTTGCAAACATTATGGATGTATTAGGTGCTTTTGGTGTTAGTGCTTTATTACGTGAATATCTTATAATTGCAAATTTTAATATTTGGACAGGTGAACAATTCTTTTTTTTCAGATGATCTGTTTGTTGTCACATAGCCATATAGATGACACATCAAAATTTCAGCAGATTATGCACCAAAACTTCTTTTAAGGAAATTAATATGACAACAGAAGATCAAGTATTTAAAATAGCAATATTACTTGAAAACATGAACTTGATAATGATTATGATTATTATTAGTTAGAGAAATAGAAAGGAGGATAAATGAAAAGAGAGCTGGTAGTAATAAATTAGGTGTAGTAGAAATAGGTTTACCATCTCATCATGTGGAATTACTTGAAGCTGTATACAATTCTTTTAATGCCAAAAGGGTTGGTGATAAGTTATTTCAAAATAAGTACTATCCTATGATAAACTCCATCTACAAACAAACTATTCCCATTTAAAAAACATTTTAAAAAACTTCATATAATATCCACTTTTAAACTTGCAAACCTTAGATTTTCAAGCAACTTTATGGGCTTAAAACACAATTTTCTACACTTATTTATTTATACATGGTTCAGTATGACAGTATGACAAAGGAAGATATTCATGATGAATTAAAGAGTTCACTAATTAATACCTTCAAATTTATGATGCAAGTCAGAATTATAAATTTATATTATCATATGATATAATTTTATTCTCAAAATATAGTGTTTTTAGCCAGAACTACAATTTAATTTTTAAAATGACTAGGTCATTTGTCATTTATATCACAAATGACATATAATTGGTCATTTGAGTCATTTGACATTTGGGCCACTAAAATAATAAAAATATTCAGAAATATAGTTGTTGTTCAGATGCTAAAAGCTGAATAAGCAAATGGGAGGTAGACTATTATTGGTGTTAATTATATAAGCTATGTAATTGATTTTCATATGACAAATCTTTTACATATCAATACAAGATTCTATAACATAATCAACCTACATTCAAAAAAAGCTTTCACCCATACTTTTCTTTGTTTTTCTTTCTGTTTCTTTTCTAATAGCATTTTCATTTCATATCTGAATTTGAATTAAAAAACTTTGTTTTATATCCTAAACTTTATATCATCATCTATCATGTATGAGTTCTATTGTTGAAAATGCATCATCACCCAGATTCAGAAAATATGGAATAAATAAAAGAGTCATATTCTAAAAGAGATCATATAGCCATATTAATCAGGCTACCTTAATTTGGTATAAATAGTAAAACTTTGAAATTATCATACTTCATCTTTATCTAAAAGCAGGCTGCTTTCAAAATCTAAGATTGTTTCTTTCCACTTGAACCAAGTAAGTAAATGAATTAATTATAGATACAACAAAGACTGAGATAACACAATTTATGTGCATGATGTCTTCTGTAGTTCATTGATTTACTAAAGCTCTTTAGATAACCCTCAAGGTCATTTATCAAAAATTTTGAATACTTAGCTTCATGATGCTAATATCTTTTTTGTGAAATAAAATTAAATATTTGCTTGTATAAAATCATTCTAGTTCCCATATTTAGCAATTATTAGATGAAACCATTCATTCAAATAAGATGGTAACTTAAGGAGAGTATCTTGATAAAGTGTCAGAAATTCATAGGACCATATTGTAATGTCATTATCTTTCAATAATAGACAAGTTTTATAATTTTTAGAATAAGAAAAGTTAAGAAATGTTTTTTTCTATCTACTAAAACTTATGTACAAACTCTTAAAGGTGAGCTGTAAATTTAAAGGTAAGTTTAGATTCTAACTAAATAGTTATCATATAATGGTACTAAATTATTTAAATGGAATGAAAATAATATATATTATTTTTAGGAATGAATGTACCATCCATTATCCAAAATAGTTTCTTTTAGAATATATTTTCTCTGTTAACTTTAGATTTTAGTTGCCATAAGTAGAAAAGCCATATACAATCACTATCCTTGATGTAATTTTTTTCCATGTATTACATAGTAATTCCATAATATATACAAATTATCAAATTATCATAAGCACAAATGAAATAATGATGTTAGAAAAATGATGTATAATATCTATCATCAAGCTACAATTTCTCAAAAGTGAGCTATAAATTTAGAGGTGAGTTCAAACTTTGCATTAGATTCTGATTGAATAGTCATCATGTAATGGTACTAAATTATTTAAATGGAATGAAAATAATATATGTCATTTTCAGGAATGAATGTATCATCCATTATCCAAAATAGTTTCTTTTAGAATATAATTTCTCTGTCAACTTTAGATTTCAGTTGCCATAAGTAGTAGAAAAGCAACATACAGTTATTAGTATCCTTGATGTAATTTTTTCCCATGTATTACATAGTAATTCCATAATATATACAAATTATCAAATTATCATTATTGTGTTTAAACAGGGTGAGTACAAATGAAGTAATTATATTAGAAAAATGATGTATAATATTCATCATTAAGCTACAAACTCTCAAAAGTAAACTATAAATTTAGAGATGGGTTAAAACTTTGCAATAACCATTAGATTCTAATTGAATAGTCATCATGTGTACCAAATTATTAAAAATATTTGTCTTCTGAAATTCATTTCAAAGGTATATGACCAATTAATAATATCATATAGGAATGTAAATTAGCTTTAATAGACATGTTTTTACTTATTATGTGGATTTTTGTTCACTGTTTTCTTGACTTAATCATTTAATAAATAAGTTTTGATTTTCAGATGTTGAGCAAATTTGATGAGGTGGAGTATGTGGCTTATCATACTTAGGACTATTAATTTCATTCAAGTTGTCATCCTTTTTATATAGGATAAAGTTTTGTTCAATTTATATTTTCCAAAGTGGGGCAGAAAAAATTCAGTGAGTAAATTAATTTTCCATAGCCCGCTAGTTTTGCATACTATTTTTGGCTATTCTGTGGCCTTTGGGTCTTATTTTTGTTAGCTATGAGTGTGCATGGCTCTTTATATTCAATGAAACATTTATTAACACTTCATTTTTTTTCTTTTTTAGGTTCTTTATCATTGGGCTCCTTGGACAGACAAAATTCATTTTTAGGAATGAATGTACCATCCATTATCCAAAATAGTTTCTTTTAAAATATTTTTTCTCTGTTAGAACTTTGAATTTCAGAGTCTTGATTGTCATAAGTAGACTAAAAATAGGCTCACTTTTGAAATATTAATATTATAAAGTAATATAACATCAACTCATTTTACTACAGATTTATCATTACATTTGATTCCAGGACTTTTGGGGTTAATAAGTATATCACAGATGGCAATAATATAGGCACAGTGTGCTGTGGGCAAATCTTTATCTTTGTATTGTTTAAATACCACATGTTCTATTGTATCTAGTAATTTACCTTCTGAAAAAAGCGCTTTATAAAGAAAGATTGTGCACCATTCCATGCAGAAAATCCATTAATGGATGGCTTTGCCGATCATTAAAAATTGTCATAATTTTATTTTCCCTGTCAATTAAATTTTGCTTTTGTTTTGGGCATTGAGAAAAGCAACATACAATCAGTAATTTTTTCCCATGTGTATTATATAGTAGTTCCATAATACATACTCATTGTGAAACAGAGTGAGCACAAATGAAATAATGGTGTTAGAAAAATGATGTATAATATCCATCATCAAGCTACAATCTCTCAAAAGTGATTGCCATAAATAGAAAAGCAACATACAATCAACATATAATCAATATTCTAAACTATCCTTGATGTAATTTTTTTCCATGTATTACATAATTTCATGATATATAAAATATTTTCTTCATTTATGCTTCTATTGTTATATATACTTTTACCTAGAAATTCCAAGTAAATATATGATCCTCCTGCCTGTAATATATTCTCCTTATTTGCTCTTGGCTGACTCTGCTATGTGGCATTAATAATATTTTCAATTGATGAAATTTTGGCCTACTGTTTATTGCTGTTTTTTATTAGAATATGTGAGGGTGTATATCTCTAGTTTATCTGGATTAGTAAGTTTCCTGCATCTTCTATTCAAATTCTTAAGTTCATGTCATTTTATATGTCAGTTAAAGTACAGTATATTAGATTAGTTGTACATACAGTATATCTTCTTTTACTGTTTGTATTGTTGTTAGTAAAGTGTTGTTTAGAGGTGTTTAATTATTTTTGTTAGGTTCTGCTTGCTAAAATGGTAATATGGATAACTGTCTTTATCCTGGGTAGTTTACAGCATTACAGGTGCACTTGGAGAATACTTGGATTTTTTGCTTTCAGGTAGCCATATTGGTTTCAATTTTTTCAGGTATTTATAATTAGTCTATTTATAAACTAAATAGAGTAACAATGGAAATACGAATTTTTTTTGATTGCTTCAATTATACCTGCATAGATTTATGTCCAATTATCTATGTGAATAACATTTCATGACCTGCCTAATCCAACTATTGTAATACTGGATAAAGTCTTCTTTTTAATAATAGAAGAACAAGAAGGTAAAATAAAAATTTTCATTTTCAAATTTATTTGAAGTGTTTAAAACCTTTAATATAATAAAGCTAACTTGATTTAATATCTTAAGTCCGATCTTTGCATTCTGAATCACTAATTTGGTCCCGTGTTTATTGTGTACTACTTTGGAATCAATCGGATAATTTTTTTACCGAAATACATATATCATACAGGCCTGTACGACAGAATAATCTTTCTCCCTTTTTTTTCTTACCAAATATTTTTCGTATAAAATATTTGTTATGTCTACCTTAAATATGATAACAAAAGAAATGGTTCGAAAATACAATAAAAATTAACTCTTTAGATTTTTTTTTTGAGAAAAGAAATGGACTCATTGGAACTTGTACGAGGATGACTTTGAAATTATTCGTAGGGTCGCAACTTTTTAAAAAGTGACCAAAGACGACCTGCAATGACTCTTATTGAATTTGTTAATGATATAAAGAAATGTAAAGTACAAAGAAATATTCTATCAAGTAAGTTTTTTTTTTATATTAGTATGTACAATATGTAATTAATTAATTATTATTTTTTTTTTTTTTTCAGTATAAAAAATTTATATTTGTTTTTTATTTACTTTAATTGAAGCTCAAATTGAAGGTATTTCCAATGAATTGGCTAGTTCAAAAATTCAAGATCAAATGAATGATATAGAAGCATTAAATGAGAAGGAATCTGATAAAGTACGGTTAAATCAAGAATTAAATGATTTAATTCCTTATAAAAAATTTGCTATTCCCTACAGTAATAATTTGTGGCCGAGTTTTGGATCCGCATGGAATCAAATAAGTATTTTCATTTAAAAACCAAGAAGTAGTATTATTAGATTTTACTAAAACTTCAAAACTACACTATCAATTATTCTAAAGAACCAAAAAAAAAAAATAATTGTTAAACGTTGGCAAAGTATAACATAGGGGAATCATCAAGCAAATTTAATGATGGCCGGATAATTTATCTGACGAAGCTTACTCAATCATTGCTGCTCAATCATTGAAAGTATTAGGGGTACAGACATTTGAAACTTTATGGTTACGCTACTTATTTTTAGCGTCAACGTCAGTGGAGAAATGTCAGCTATCATAGCCACTAATCTTTATAAATATTAAACTAGTGCTAGAGGAGGATGACAATAAAATGAATCTCGATCCAATTAATTTAGTTAATAATGTTTTAAATAGATTAGAAGAGTAAGGGTGGTTTGTTGGCTTTTTACCATTATGTTCCTAGATTGATACAGTATATCTTTATGTAATGATTTGATAATATTTAAATTCTTTGAGTTTTGCTAACTTGCCTCCTGGGTTAAATAACCTGGGTTTAAATCACCCCCCTAAAATTTATATTTTACATCAATCTTTTTTTTTAAAAAAAAAAAATATTTGTGTTATTATTCATTTCACTTTATATAGATTTTATTTATTTGGATATTATAGAGCACGTATAAGACCAATTTTAACCCAGGGTGATTTAACCTACTAGTAAATTTATATAATTTTGCTCAAATTTTCAAAAAAAAAATGTAAATTTTGATTACAATAAAAAATGAGAGACATTGTCAAAAATATAAGAAAAATTGGTCATTATACTCTATATCGAATAATAACAATAACACAAATTCTTTTTATTAATCAAAAGTAGTCAGGAACCTTTACGTGCTCGAATGTGTGGAGAAAAAGATCGTCGACTGATCGACCTGCGGGTTTGTGTGGGTGACGTCATTTTCTAAGGGAAGGGTTCAGACCATGATGATGTTACATATTTTCAGGATATACATATTTTATTTTTGCATTTCCCAATGACATAGGGAGGAAGGACCTAAAATTTAAATTACGTAATTTCTGGCCACCAAAGGATACGCACAAGTCGCACAATAAAGGAAAAATGGAATTTGTTTTTTAATACATAATAATTTTCGAACCTGATAAAGAAATATTTTATATTTTGATACGCCAAGCCGTATGAATTTTTGTCTAGTCACGTCAACGACGTACAGTAACACGATGTTGCGCAACTTAATATGGAACAATTTGAGATAACCTCGTTCATCACACCATAGAATACTAGAGTAATATATTCACGTAGCGATCAAATATTTTATTTTTATACTGATAATTTGTACGTTCTTTAATTTAGCTTTATTATTTATTTATTTATTTATTTTCAATTATTTTATTTTGAATCAGTAATTATCGATACTTCTAATATCATGCTTATAGTATGCTAAAAAGTACTGGTACTATTATGTTGATCATAATATGGTGTTATCATGGTATTGTTACAAAAGTACAATTCGTTTAAATACTTAAAAACACTTTTTGTTAAGAACAATATAAAAACATTGTACACAAATTTCCCCGAAAAATTATCGGATATTACCTCACGGAATTCAACCAAGGATCGACGATCCTATTTCAGGATTTCCGGCTGATTTGCCAAGTAAATTTGCCAAGTGTCAAGTAATCATTTATAGTAAAAACATTACATTGACCCTAGAATGAAAAAAAAAAAAAAAAAAATTATTTAACCATATTTGGAAAAAATCCGCTTTGGCGATTTTTGGCAATTGAATGTGTTGCAAATTGTCTTTTTAATCCTTTCACATGGTAACATGGAATTAAAATTCCGATTTCAAATATTATTTGAATCAAAATATTGTTTTTTTTTTTTAATGAATACATTTTAGATATTATTTCATATTTTATTTAAATATTATTATCATATTTTTTATTTTGTGAACCAAATTTTGAAGAATGATAAACTTTATGAATAAAAATAAAATTTTGGTATGGATCATTTTATTATTTTATCCTCTTCTTTTTTTTTAGAATAAATGATTTACTTAATTTAGTTAACAAGTAATAATTCAAAATAATTCGGAATAAATGATGAAATTACCATAATTTAAATTGTAACCAGTCTCAAATAAAATGAGTAAAATTATATATATATATATATTATTTATATATATCTGCATAAATTAAAATAAATAATTCATTTTATAATGAAGAAGATATAAAAATATATATATAATAATGATGATGATGATGATGAATCAAAATGCCAAGAATAAACTACAAGAATTCTATCGAATTCTATCGAAGACTTCCCATATTCCTGATTATCATTTTTAATTCCCATATAAAGTATTTTGATAGATGAATGAAATTATATGGGTAAACTATATAATTATCTAGTATTTTCTGGAATGGCGCAATAAAAAAATTTTTAATCTTATTGAAAAAACAGAGAATTATTACCAAATTAGTTTACAATCACTTAAAAAAGCTAGCCAAATATTATGCTTGTATTATGTAATCAATGATATCAACAATAAACATAAATATTTAACTATATTTTTAATAAAACTATACTTCAGATTTATGATACGATTTTATCAATTATCTCTTTATCGAACGATAAACAAAATCTCTGTATTACATTATTATGTAGGCACTCGGGCATATCCGGATACGATCTATTCGCTAGGGCGTTTATAAAAAAATCACGCGTTTTTTTTTATCTTGATAAAATCATTATATTTTATTAAAAATCTTATTAATTATTAGTTAATCGTCGCGTTGAACTTTTTTAAATAGAACCTCTATTTATTTAGTACTAAAAGTATATCTATCATAAAAAGTGTTCAAATATTATTACACAATAATTATAAATTACACATATCTTCAACATATTATAATAAAGTGAAAAATAAAAAATTAGTAACCATTAAAATAATTATCCAAGAATTCCCTTGATAAAATTTCAATTTATCAGCACCACCATATTTATTATTAACATTAAATGGACGAACGGTAGGTACAACACCAGGGTCAACATAAGTAGTGGTTGGTACTGGAGTTTGAGGTTGTGGTTGTGGTTGAGGTTCTTGAGGTTGAGGTTGAGGCTGCGGTTGAGGTTGAGGTTGAGGTTGAGGTTGAGGTTGAGGTTGAGGTTGAGGTTGCGGTTGCGGTTGTGGTTGAGGCTGAGGTTGAGGTTGAGGTTGAGGTTGTGGTACTTTAGGTTCAGGCACTTTAGCTGGTCCTTTTGGCTCTTTCCCCGGACCGGCTGCCGGATTCTTTGGATTTGCAGCATTTGGGTTTGGATTTGCAGCTGGTGGGTTTGGTGGATTTGCACCCGGTGCTTTCGCTGGCTCTTTCGCTGGTTCTTTCCCTGGTCCTTTCGCTGGTTCTTTCGCTGGTTCTTTAACTTTTCCCGCATCTTTACCTGCACCTGGTGCACCTGGTGCACCTGGTACACCTGGTACAGCCTGTGGCATCGGTAAAGCATCTCTTTTTCTTATATTTGACGAAACATTTGTCGTCTCCTTAACAAACTTATCTCCTTTTGATAATAAGAAGTCTCTAATGGTTATTGAAAGGGTTTGATCATTAACAATTTTACTATGTACAAAACATATCAAGAAGGAAAAAATTAATAAAGAAATAATATTAAAGCGCATTTTTTTAAACATTAAATTTTTTTTTTTTTCTTATATAAACGTTATATTAATTTTACTTTATACATATATAATTTTTTTTTACGTGTTCATTATATATATATTTGTGCTATAATTATATAATGCATTTTCTGCTAAACGTATTAGGGAAAAGACCAATTAAATATAATGAAAAACTTACAATTCTGCAAAATTATACGGCAGGGGTTGATCTAAACCTTATATTGTGCTAACGTAACACAATGTTCATTTAACTACTCCTTATTCAGAAATACATATTAGATGATAATATTTGATTAAATAATATAAATAGAATAAGTTTCAAAGCAAAAGATTCGATGATAGTATTTTTTTTGATTGTTGCATTGCATATTTTAAAAAAATAAAAAAAAAATTCGAGAATAAAAATAACGTTATTTAAATATTACCAAAATTGTTTTTTTTTTATGTTGTGAGACGAAAAAAGATTAAACCCCCATTTTTAGTTACACGATTACAGAGAATCGTTTTAAGAATTTTTCTCGGTAATTCCATTGTTTATTATTATTAATATTATAATATTAACTTTCTTTATCTTACCTTTTTCCATAATTTATAGTAAAACGCCAAGATTTTTTTTTTCTTTCTCTTTTTTAACAAATAATGATAAATAATGATAAAATAATGATAACTTTAAAAATTTTATTTTAAATTATTGCATAAGAAACATGAAATTTTTTTTTTTTAATATTATTCCTAAAGTTTTATATTAATGAAGTTGTTACACAAAGAAAAAAAAATTTTTTTTTTTTTTTTTTCTTTTCAAAAATTTAAATATTGTTTTTCGGGAAAATAAACAGTATCAGGATATCAGGGAGAAACTGTAAGGAATTTCTATGTTGTATTTATATTCATATACGCATTTGTTAATTGATGTACATAAATCATTTAGTTTGATCTCCATATTTGGTTATTAAGTATGAACTGGAAATGGCAAACTATTGTTCGTCACGTGATAATGTATGACGAACTTCTTTATCCTTTTCAATCATTTTAATTAATAAATAAAGAACTTCACATGTTTGAAAAATTTCAAGATTTTTTCTTTTAAAAAAAAATAAATAAATATAATTATAAAAATAAAAAATTTGATAAGCACGTCATCTACGTCATTTAACATAAATTATTCGGATATTCATCATTTGGCTTAGACCATGAGTATTACTGTTTACGTTGATTTCATGATTTAACGATTTATGCGGCTTAGTAATAATAAAAGTGGCTTATACTTTTTTTTTATTATGAATAAAGAAATAGATTTTCAATTATTAAAATAATAACTAAATAATAACGAAGACTTGATAATAAAAATGATAATAATGAAATTCTCGAATTTTTCGAGAATTTTTTTTATTTTTAAGTTTTTTTTTTTTTAAAAAAAAAAAATTTAATTTTTTTT